TGTTATTTAAGAAAAATTAAAAGAAATTTTTGCTTTTTTCCTATTTGCGATATTTCAAAATTTCCTGCTTCATTTTTGCGTTTTTGGATTTTCAAAAAAGTGAATAAGTTGAAAAATTGGGTACCTTTTTTCTAATTTTCTTTTTTTCAGCAAACTTAGAAAACGTGAAATAAAGGTACCYTTTTTTMCACTTTTTCGCTTGGGCGTGCGYGGTTTGCTACGCTTCGTTGCTCTTCAATTCCCGCCACATAAATTACTTTTCCCGCCTCAATCAGTTTATTATTCTAATGAACTTCCACAAGTTGCTGTCCGCCATGGCGTTAGTACGTGTTCAGTTCAATGCAAAACTTCTTAAACTCAGGACTTCATCATTAACGATACAAAACTTGTCTATGATCTTCAAACTCAACGAAGTTCATGGGATTTTCCTAACTGTTGAGGGAGATGGTGAAATCATCCTTCCGGATGAGAGTGGGAACTTTGTTATTGATGACTACKACAAGACTTACGAGGTTAATGGCGAAGTGTTGTCGGCTACTTATACAAGCACATCAAATAGTTCACTGGGCGCTATTCCTAACAGCTATCAAAGAACGCACACCAACCCTCCGCCAAGTGGTTTACGTCCACAATTTAAGGCGTCAAGCTCCGTAAACAGTAGCAGCACTTCAACAGCTACAAATGTGACCAAGAAAGCCTCTAGCACGTGKAAGAAATCATTYATGGYCATAGAAGTAGACACTGCTGGCATGGTTATGGAGAAATTTCAAGTCCACCTGACACTAACGGAAGAGAATGCTACTGTAGAGRGAATTTCCAGTATGATCAAAGACCAACTAGGCTTTGCTGATGTAGCACTTCTTGATTCGAAGTATCTGCCCATTATGAATAGTCCTACAACCAAAGGCAAGTTRCATATATGTATCAAAATAAGTGTTTTTCTTTGATTAGTTAATTAATTTATCATTGTATATATGCCGCCAGGTTCCCAATTCTGGAAGTCAGGTAGAAAGGTGATGGTGGCCAAGGCAAGCRAAGCCCATCAAATCGTTAAATCAAAAAATCCCAAGCGATTGAAGAGCAGCAGTGATGCCATGGTCCTTGAACAACTTCGTTCACTTCAAAAACTAGTGAATGAAAAGCAGCCACAAGTACCTGACGAAGCAATAATCCAAGARGAAATCAAGAGAAAAGTTGAGTCAATATTGAATTGMTCTGTTTGCTTGAATACTGCAAAGTTGCCGGCCACCGTCTGCTCAAGCTGTTTTAAAGTTATGGGCTGCGTTCCATGTATAGAGCAGTGGCATGAAGCGGCAGCGAATAACGCGAAATGTCCACTCTGTAGATCAACCAAGAACTATGTACTTCTTCCTATTGTAAGGGGGATTGCAGATATAGTAGGACAAACACTAAAAATAGAGGACGACGACACGGAATCTACCGC